CCAATACGTTTGCACTCCATTGTTTGTGGCTAGCTCTTAAAATTACTCCTTTCCTCTTCAATACTGTCATATTAATTTGAGTAAATTGAAGTAAATTTTAATAAATTAAGTAAAAATTTCTATAAAATATTTCTCTAAACCCTCAGAATTTTACACATTCTTTATGTGTTTATTTTGACCGGAATAAAACGCTTTTTTGGGGGTTGTGTTTAACATTGGAGTGGATTTCTTTCCAAACGATTGCTATAGAATACGGCAAATCCATCAATCACCCATTCACACATCAAATCCACACCCATTCTCATTAAAACTTCACACCAAACAAACCAAACTCCGAACTCATCACCAAATCAGAGTCTAAATTCAATTCACTTCACTCAATTCAATTCATTCACAACCGAAATCATCCAATCCCCCAAAATCTCCCCACATCCCACCCAAATACCAAACCAACTCTACAATATCCTCACCAAATCCCCCAAAAACACATCAAATCAAAGCAAATCACTCACTATTCACCCATAACCACTCGGTTTGAAACTTCGGGAAACTGCTCTGATCGAACCAGACCACCTTCGAACCACAATCCGAAGCACAATACTCCACCGCCTGCGAGTAATTGAACGAGCCCACCCCAACAAAGTAACAGAAGTCATTGTCCTTGTTGTAATGCCAGCCTGGTTCACAGAGCTCCTCTAAAATTAAATTTTTGCTTAAGTGATGATTTCCTACTGATCAGAATTACTTACTTAACAGTTGATATACTGACTAACCTTCAGGTACACACAATCTTTTCTGCACACACTTAAAACCACGTGGACATTGCTCACTTCTGCTACATTCTGAAAGCAAATTAATTAAGATAATTAACTCAATTCACTATTAATCATCAATCAATCAATTCAATTAAGTTAATTAAGCTAATTCAACTCGATTCACTTACTTCACTACAACTCAACACCCAAATTCAATACTCATTTCAAATGACACCCAACCAAACTGCCACAAAACTCTATAACAATGATATAAATGAGTAAATTCCTAATGAAGATCACAGCAACCGAACCAGTAATCAACTAAAACAACTCCATCCATATGCTCAAAAGGAATTTCTGCTTGATCCACACAAATTAACTCCTCTCCTTGAGATCTTTCATTAATAAATTAATTAATATACCTATTAATATACCTTCAAATTAATCATACCTATTCTAACAACCGGGCTAGGCGTCGGTCCTTTCGCTCCGACTGGCTGAGGTGAAGGAGTAGGTGGTGGCGTCTTCTGAACCTTTGGACGATCCGCTGAAACGGTACAATCCAATACTAGTATTCAACACGATTCACTCATTCTCAGCACTGATCTCGAGAGGAATTCAAACCGAAATGCTACATAAACGTGTAGTGACGATGTAAGTGATCATATTGATCACTTGATCACCGATAAATGATCACTTGATCACTTATAAATGATCACTTGA